CTCCTTCTACGACATCAATCAGGATATTCTCCCCGTGTCGATCACCTGAATGAAAAAAAATCAGAAAAAGTGCTGGTGCGAAAGTGAACAAAAGAAAAGAAAAAACTATTAACTTAAAGCCATTTGTAAGCCGAAAAATACAAATGCCCCTCTCACCAAGTCCTAAGACGAATCCAATCATCGACATCACTGCACATGAACGAGCAAAACCCAATCGAGCGGCATACCAAACCGAAGGATCAGGAAACTGTCGTCTGCAAGAAAACGTGTCGTACCTTACCAGTTTTGCATGTGTACCTTTGAAGTGCATACAGCCCACATTAACTCGACGAAAAAGTGACTCACTCTATAGGAGTACTTGACACAACAAAATTGATATGAAATTTTTGAACATTTACAAAGTGTGTTTGTCTCAAACACTGGAGTATGAGCGGCACAATCCAGCTTTTGGACCAGAGGACTTAAAACTAAAAACATAAAGGTCCAGCAAGTCTGTAACGGTTTCGAACAGATGCAGCCCACCCAGACGGGGCATATACGCTTCTTGACTGCAAAGCAGTTCCAACCCCCTTAACCTCATGGCTTGTTTGACAGTACGTTATTACCGGATTATCTAATTTATTTCTGAAATGCTCGAGGACTTATAGAAACAGAGGCCAAAGGCAGCTCTTTGGTGTATTCAGTGCTTGTCGAAGGGTTCTTCTCAGTTCACAATGTCTAAAATCCATTAACAAGTCAAAATGAGGGGCTTAAATATCCTAAACGTTTGCGATGCGATGTTAACTCAGCTTTCCTGGCTGCGATACAAGGAACCTCTCAATATCCGATGCGGTAAAGAGCCGTGCGGTCCGCTAGAGCCCCTGAAATGCATTATCGGAAATACAGGGCATAGGAAACATCTTGGTGACCCGAATTTTTCCAACGGGATAGAGTTTTGCATAAATGGTCGCTATATTTCTCGATCAAGTATTTCGTATTGTTTGTTCCGTAAAAAACGACGTCAACTCTATGTTTAGAGAGTAAAAAAGGTTCAAATAAGATCGCCATGAGTTACTACAAAACATATCAAACTACATAGGTATCTAGAGTTACCTAGTTATTCTGGCTCGGAATCTCTTTCAGGTTAGAACCGAATTGTTAAGAGTGGAAATAACTGACTATACATACTATACCTAAACTAACTTACATTACAATTACGATTCAAGGACGAAGCCACAGACGTTCTTCTTTCACTACTTACTCGAGATATGTTCATACTTATGTTGTTGTTTGCCTCATTATTTTGCATGATGTCGATCCATTTAGAAGAGGCTTTTACCAACGCTGCTCTGAGTGTGGGAAATAAAGGATAGGTACTGATCAGGCTACTCACATGAAAACGCTAATTAGGAATAAAAGCTTCCCTATGCTTTGTGATCATATAGGGACTGGCCATTGTGCAGCTAAATAACAATAAGAAAGTCATCGACAGTTTCATGAAGCAATCCCCTGATAGTAGGACGAAGCGCTTGAAGAATGGAGGGAACTGTGGAAAAGTGGTGTAAAACGGCAGACGAAATGACGAGGAGTCACAAAATTGGAAGAGAAGGCTGCATCTAAAAAAAAAAAAGACGAGAAATAAGAAAAGAGAAATGGGAGGAAAAAGATCAATAAAATGGGAGAAGACGCCTCGAATGCAGAGATGTCAAAGGAATAGAGCTAATGAAGAGGAAGAAAACTGACAATAGAGGAGGTTGCCTTGACTGGGAGCAAAGGAGTTTGAAAGGAATAGAAACCAAATACAAGTTTGACCTTTTGGTTTTAGCGTAACACTTGAAACTTTGCAAATATTTTCAAAACATCTCCCATACCCTAGCGAGTGAACGGATACCTCGTTCTCTGGGTTACGCTACCTTCGAAGTGCAAAACGAGTTGAGGTTTGTCCCCATGGTAACTACCATTGTACCCCTCTCAAACGTGAACAAGTAAGTAGTAATCGGTCGCTGAGAGGCCGGTAGAATATGTAATCGTGAGTATGGGTTTAGAATACTACAGAGATGGGTTTACAGAATCTTTTAATTCACCTATAATAAGCAACATGTGAGCGTGCTTGGTCGAGCAACAAGAGACCCTCGCATACGAGGGATACTGTTATTGTTCGAGTTCTCAGCAAGCCTTCACAATTGCATGGGCAGACCGGCAACTGGATCGGTCAGGGTCAGAGCGGGGACCTTCAGTTCAAGCCTTTTTTAATGGTTTACATCAACTTTTTCTAAAGAACGTAATGAAATATGCCACTGATTATTTGTCGATAAATGATGATCCTTAAATTTATCACACATTTATGAAGAGTAATGGACAGGGACATTTCTAGAGAACGAGCCGAAAAAATATAATAGCTTTAGAATCAGAAAAAAAAAAGAAATTGGAGCTCGTAAATGAAAACAATCTGAATCGTGTTCGACAAAAGCTAGCTCATACTGACATTCACTACTCAGTGGTACTAGGATTCTTCTCACATTTGTTATAAGGAAAAAGGATAGAGTCTGGGGGGGATCAATCCCGTCTAAGGGATGCGCCCATGCATTCGACTTTTATTCAGAATCGTAGTGTAGTATTGAATCCCTATGTGGCCTATAAAGATTTGCAGAGACCAGCCGATATACAAGTTCACGCTTTTATCCCCAGACGAGTCTTGTACAATGAAACGACCCCAGAGGGACAGAAAGCTTAATTGGCTTAGGTGGGTATCAATCGGAGATTCGATACCCGTGATCGTGCGTGTTTGAAGTGCGCCTTTTGTCACTACACTGACTCAACCCTCACGTTTGTTTTATGCTTACTTGATCATCGCTCCCACTGAATAAAAGGACCCAGGCCAATCCATCTGTACCACGTCCACTTACAAGCACAAGGGTGCCCATCGCTGATAATGTTACCATGCACAGGAAGGAATGAAAGTCAAAAGGATCTCGTAAGTTCTACGTAATCCATGATGCTAACAAGTTAATCCTGAAAGATGACTATGTAGAATAGCATGCGACTTGAATGGCCGACCCCATAGCAACACAAGAGGTCTAGAAGATGAACTTGGGGGATGGGAGTTCCTAGCTTGGGGCCATCATGTTAGAAACTAAGAAACGGCTGGAAGTAGGTGAAGGAAGGGTGAATACAGAAAGGGAAATGAATTGGACTTTTTAACCGACATTGCATCGAAGCTCCGTAGTTGAGCTTTGGCACCCGTCGTTTTTCTCTGCTAACAAAATCCCCGCAGCCTAAGTTGTCCCCCTTGGAACCCGTCAAATTTGCTCCCCATAAAATGTATCCTTCCTTCTACTTCCCTAACGGGAAAAGTGCACCGCAAGGTTATACTGGTTAACAACGAGATACTGTCTATTTCATAGCAGCCCCACCAACCTATTCCAACCCTTCAAAGTCGGTTGCTTAGTAACGTGTATCAGGGGTAATGATTAATACTGACTTTACGCCAATCCTAAGAGCTACTTCACAGAAATTAATTAATTCGAACACTTTCAAAGCTCTAGCGAAAAAATCTGGCAGGAGTGCGTTCCCATTATTTGTCATCTAAGAAACAAGCCTCTGTGGTTCGGCTCTGCCAATGTGAACGGGAAATTTCGAGGGATACATTGGCTGAATTTCATGCTTGCAACACTTGGCTTGTATCCACGGCAAAATATAACTTACACAGTGTTTGATGCACTGCTGAAGACGGCTCGAAATGAAAAACACATGTGAGCTCAGCTGAAACCGCTACCCGTAGGAGCGCAATCCCGAGCACAATTCGCTCTTACCAATCCTTACTTACTACCTTACTATGTAACAATCAGATGACATCCCTCAAATCGCGAATTAGTGAATATTTTGGACTAATTCATCGGCTTCTGCATTCTTATGGTTAATGGTGGTAATCCCGATGTCAATCACTTAGAAACTGAGCTCTTAGTTCTTTCTAAGGGATTCTTCACTCGAAGGTCTTTTCATAAAGAATGCAAGAGGGTTAAATAGCGCTTCTGGCCATCGCACAACAGTCCAAGTAACAAATACTCGTAAGCACAGAAGGTGGGAACAGTCCCAGTGATATGCTGTGGGTCAACGGACTAGGCAGCCAACTATTGACGCCGGTTGTGAGCGCCTTCGTTGCTGTTTCACTTACTAGAGAAATTCTCTCACGCTCCGATGAATCAGAAATCTTCAGGGTAGGCATTATTGAACTATCTTTTTATTGATCCAGTTTGTTTTCGCAGTAAACAAAAAGGTCTATAATGTCGATAAAGACATGTATTGGAAGGTATGGCACTTAAATATGAGTAAACGCCTACCTTCGTCATTGATTTGGTCCTTACTTAGTATTAATGCAGTATGATCGATCCCTATAGTCATCTATAGCCAGCATCATCATAAAAATCGATTTTACTTTTCTAAATTTCACCTTTTCAGCCGTCGCCATTCAAAAAGATGGAGCACAGGTTCTGCGGGCCTAACCCACAAGCGACGATGTTGTCCTGATTCTGAAGACGAGTCGCCAGTAGAGGCAAAGTGAATCATATTCATATTAACACTTTCATCAAAATTGATTCAAGACGGATTCTAGAATGACCCCTTATGGGCGATTCGCTAAGTTCCAGCCCACGGGGTATGAGCTCTGCCTACGTTCGGTCTCGTTGTCCTAGCCAGGCGGGGAGAGTCAACCAGCCAATAGAACTCTCTGGCTCGCAGCGCCATCAATATCAGGGTCGTCCTTGTCGAAACCGCGCTAAACCCCGTGGTCGCCCCGTCTACTCTCAGCCACACACTCGCACACCGGCCAGCCAGCCACCCACAATCGATTCAACCCCCGTTCGCTAGCCGCCATCAGGCGGTAACCCAAGACTTATACGGATGCTTATGGAGGGCCTTGACGGCCGTAATTACGTGCACGGCTGACTGGCTAACTCTTCTGCTGTTCGGCTTGGAACTCCCTGAGAGCACTTCTCTTCTTGGTGAAATGCTTCACATGTCATTTAATTATATTGGATTCGCACTCTCATCTCGATAACATTCTCTCCTGGTGGTTCTTCCAAGTCCTCCCGTCTCCTCTCGTTTTTCTTAATACTCTTTCATTTATGGGTGTGTTTCTCGAAAAAAACGCTCGTTGAGGAACCCAAGAAGTTCCTTCCTTCTCACCCAAGAGGCCTACAAGAACATTTCCACAGCACAGGCTAAATACCCGGTTATTCTTCTTTCGTCCCGAACCCCTTCTTGTGCTTGCAACTCCCTTCAGTCGCTTCGTCCCATAAGACTCTGTCCAGTCTTTCCTAAAAAGATTACTCGCCAAAACTTCACAAGAATGGGACACGGCTGCTGGGAGCTGTGCTGAGAACCCTTTTGGCTCCCAACCACTTTGAAAAAGGGCTGAAGATACCAGTTTTATTTCAACATAGAGTACTTTGCCACTCATTAGGGCAAAGGAATTCTAAACCTTTCGATAACACTGATGTATTGTTTCCTGAACTGAATCCCAGATGGGGTTTCACGTCGTTTCTTCACGAGATGAAATCCTAAGGTAAAGAACCTAAGGGTCCGATCGATAGCAGGGCCACCCAGTTTAGTCACACCTGTGACCCACCTGATGAGTCTGTCCCGTCTGGGTTTCCGCGCCCCTTCACAGCCAGGCTAGGCCATGCCAGTCAGCCACCCAGTCAGCCACACTCACACACCCCACCCATCGATCGGGGCACAGTGGCTTCGCTTATGCGCGGTTTGCTAACCACGACTCGGTCTCTCTCTCTCACTAAGGTCTATCGGCCGCCTGTTTGTTTGTGTTTTATTGACCTGAACCAAACGCTCTTCATGCCTAATCCTCATATAACTCCTCTCACATGCCAATTCTGATTTTATTTCAAAGGGTTTTCCACGTCGGTGCTACGATTTCCCACCTGAAGGGTCCATATGTACCTTGACTATCCTGAGTGAGTTGAAATGACCAAATAGTCCTATAAAGGAACTTTATTTAAATGGAACCCTCAATGGATAGCCATCAGCCTCTCTGTTTATTTTTCATTCAGCAGTTCTATGAAGGATCGCAAGAAAGCCCCTCCTTTTCACGAAAGTGAACTGAAACTGCTCATGCGACTCTACTGTGATTCCTATGAGGAGTACCATGGACGAGGGAGAGATTGTGAGTAGCCATCCTTTTAACCGACTCTTTCGCATGAGAACGTCCTCCAGCAGTCAGTCCTTCACGCCTTCCTTCATTGCAGCCGGAAAATGCGGCGGCATGTCCGACAAAAAGAGTTTATTGCGACGTTTTGCCAAAGAGGTCTCGAATCTTGGGTTCTATCAACGTACAGAGAAACAAATTGAAGAACGTCTACGAGCTGATTGTAAACGCGTTCGAAAGCATGAGGTAAGCGTAATCCTAACCCTCTGGGTATTTGGTTAATGATGAGCTACAATCCGATTTATATCATTTCTCTCTTTAGCGAGCCCGAATCCATGAAGGACAAGAGGCGGTGCTAAATAGCCTACCAACATATTTGCATCAGTTGTATGAATGCCGCAAAAACAAGGCCAACGGTTCTGGTTTATTTAATTTACGTAAGTACATACTCATAATGAAATACTGAAAATGTGAATCTGATTTTTCGATTGAAATTGGGATTTTTTTTTCTAATTTTTGAAGTGATTAATAGCCATGATATATGGGAAGGTAAAGCTATGAGCAAGACAAACAGAAGCCGATCGAGGCTCAAGAGGGGCGACAACAGTGAGATGCATATTGCCCAGAAAGGATGTGATAGGGTTCAGGACTGAAAGGCAGAAAGAGCTCAGTGAAAGGGTGCGTAAGAGGGAAAAAAGAAGGGAAAAAGTAGGCTACTAGTGTTCCAGATTTCTAGTAAACCCTTCTTAAGGGAAGGGGAAAACTGTATGGAGTTGAAAACAGAGAGAAATGGAAAAGAGAGGGTTTTCTCTCTTCTACTGATTTTTCATCTTCAAGTAGGAGTCTACGATAACGCTGCACCAAATTCACTCAGCAGTAATAACGGCACTCTTCAAAGAAATCTGTTGGTCACATGTGCCACGGTAAAAAGTGTACTTGGAAGAGGGGTAAGGAGGGAGTGGGGGGGGGGGGGGGGGGGGGGGGGGGGGGAAGGAGGCATCGTTCCTTTCCAACATTGAGCGTTAGAGTGCAGAGAAGGGAGTGCAGCCGACTACGCGAGCCCATAAAGGTGCTTGGGAACGTCTCCTAGTAGAGAAAAATTGCAACTTGAGGTCTAGAAGGGAAGGGGTGGAAGAGGCATTTGGATGCTATATTCCTACCCCATACAAGCTTTTTTTAGTGTTGCATAGGATCGGTTACAGTTCTCAGATCATCATTGTTTACCTACGATCACTGAGCAAGTAACAGTAAAAATTAATTAAAATTAATTTCAGATGAAGACGACTATGATATGAAGGAAGATGACACACTTACCGCATGGAATAAGGTGCGAAATAGGGAGAATGGACTGACTTTTAAAAATTAACATGTCCTCCTGAGTCTCTCGTTTGAATGTTCAGGTTGAGGTTGTGACTCCTCGTGAAGGCTCACCCTTGGGTGAACATTCATCCGGTGAGGGAGCTTTTATGGAAATGGAAGACGGTATCAATGAATCAATCGCCACATCAACTACCACTCCTCTGGCAAGGAAACTGCCACGAAAGCTTGCCAAGGCAATGTAAGCGGAGTCGTACACTCATGGACAGTCACCACCTCCGAAACGGCTAGGCAGTTGTGCAAACGATCTAGAAAAACACTCTAGGAATTGAAACTATTCAGTTGGTCGTTTGACCTTACAAGTTACGTGGGCGCATGCGGTAAAGACTTAGGGAGGGAAAATTATTTGAAGCCGCATCGCGATTGTTCGCATAATAGTTTGGCCGCCTTGGAGGTTGTGACTAGAATGACGCTCACTTCTTAATTGAATTCTACTTGTTTAGGAGGTCAAGAGAATCTCCCAGCTCATCCATGGACCCAAGAACAGTATTGTATGAGGAAGAAATCAAGCTGTCAATGTTACGACAACAGTTGGCACTTGAGGAGTTGAAGCTGATAGTAATTAAGAACGATCTAGCCCGAGCACAACTGGAACGGGAAACGATAGCCACGGAACGAGAGCGTTTCGAATTGGAACGAGCGAAACATGTAAGTTTTATGAATTAGAAAGTATACCTTGGGAAACAAAAATGGCTAGATTGGATGAGAAGCAATGAAATAGGCTCGACACGACAACTTGAGTGAGTGGTAAAAATATAAAGTACGACGAATCATAAACAAAGGAGAAACTAACCGGAACCATTCGGCCATAACTAAAGGGTAACGACGGTAGAACGTTGTTCGCATTCTCTCTAGACGTTCTTCCATAGGAGAGGTAGCATTCCAGTTGGAGAACCTTAACCATGCCGTAAGCTCGCTGTGAAAAGTTACTTTTAGCGGTGAAGCTCTTTCGGAAGATATTACTCGGCTGATTATAAAAAAGATCATGGATTAATCCGTTTAACATCGAATTATGCGCAGGTGTAAAACCATATCAGTTCATATTTACTAAATAAATACACAGTTCACTACAATTTTGGGGTATTTAGTTTTAGTCGAATAATGGAAATGATAGTCTATAACAGTGCTAAAAAGGTCGAAGAAAATGCGAATATCGGCGTATTTCAAAGAATACATGGCCTAAAAAGTTTAGTAAAATTAGGGTTGGACGAGAATATGACAAAAGTAGCGTAAAAGGGATTTGTACGTGTTGCGCAAATATGCGTGCCATTGCGTACAGCTGTCTACACGTCCTGCAGCGTTCCGGCGCGGGCGGTGCAACTTCTACAGCCTCTATAGCGCCCCGAAAACTCGCCCAACTTTGGGAGTGCATGTCGGCTCAGCAGTATCGTGCCCCTTATTACGCCCTTTACGAGCCATATTCCGACCCGACAGGGCCCTTTGTGCTATTTCTGGGGTTCCAGGTTCATACCAGGATGCAGTTTCAGTAACCCTTCATATAGTGAACTGTGCCCTCAAGAAAAAAAGTACATTTATCCATTGCGAGGAATATCCAACACATCGACGGAAATAATGAACTCCGTCTCCTGAAATTTCTGCCAGATCTATGGCAAGGAATTGGCTGCAAAACGCACACTGCGCCGTAAACTTTCGTGGCAAAAGGTGCGTTTGGTAGAAGTGCCTTCTAAATGCCATCCCGCCTACTTAGGAGTTAGGTTACAGTACCTATGAGCAGTGGAATTATCAACAAAGTCCTCCAAAGACCCAGCGGAACCAAGACTGTGAGCTAATATCGACGCCTGTTGCCATATGCTGGCAAGCACTCTTCTTAAGCTCGAATCTCACTTCCATTTCAAATTCCATCTATTATTAAAATTTTATTTTATTGTTTGTATTTCATATTGTTAATTACCTTCCACTGAATTGTAAATTTCACATTAAATCTCTGCTGAATCATCCAAAAACTCACCATTGTGCATCTGGTAGTGGATCACCTTTCTCTTCAAAAAGTGGCTGCAGCACCCCTCTGTATGGAACCAGATTAGGGACCCATTCGACAATTCCTCCTGCTTCCTAAAATTACTAAAAAGAAGTTCTTTCCCTTTAAAATTGGCGCTTTTCAGGAACAATATGCAGAGGAGCTGAAACTGTTTTCAATACAACAAGACCTAGCTCGAGCCCAGCTGGAGAAGGAAATAGTGGCATTAGAACGTGAAAAACTGAAATTGGAGCGAGAGAAAAAGGTGGGCTATTCCTTTGTTGTCTAGTCGTAAGGACCAATAGACAGTTATGCCAGGTTTTCGTGGGTCGCATGATTTCCAAGTTGTAACAAAAACGAAAAAAACTCTCCTTTGGGACTCACAAATCCTAGGCTATCACCATGACCATTGATACAAA